GGCTATCTGCTTAACTTGTGAGGGCAGAGGTCACTGTGGCTGGTTCCGGGTGGTGCTCGGGCAAAACGCTGAGGAAGGAGCCTCTCTTTCACCGTGGGGTGGCACGTCACATTGAGGACATGTCAAGAGACGCCTGACAGAACTGGGAGTGAGATCCAACTGAGCAAGAGGGCTGCGGAGGGGGCGGGGGGGTGGGGGTGGGGTAACCCACTGTCGTCTTGCATGAGCGCCCATGGACGCATATCCAATGTGACGCACACATATACACAAGGCAGGCAATCATAAACAAATACAGATACCACCCAATAGATTCACACATATTCAAGCACACACACACACACACTGGGCACACACACACTAGTCCAAACCGAACATGCTGCCTGCATAGAGAGCAGGTGTCGGACCAGGAGAGCGCCGTGCGTCTGACGGTTAACGTCCGAGCTCCCAGCTGACCTCACATCAAAACTTGGCGAAACGGAGACAGGGCACGGAAATTCTCAACTAAATGGAGGCAGCAAGGCTTGCGTAATCAAAACAGACTCAATTATGTCTCCTGTCAACTCGGGATGAGCCGACGTCCGTCAAAGACTCAGGACTGAGGTGCTATCGCTAGACTCGGATTACTGAGACCATTTCCCTCAACGCAATTCAGTGGCTGCTTTCTGTTCCCAGATCCACTCGCTATGGTCGTTAGTTATTCATTCATTCATTCAGGGCAGAAGTTCGGAGAAATCTATAATAAATAGCATAAATAATAATAAAGGAGGTGACAGAGAGAGAAATTTACTAATGTACCACAGCAGAGACAAATTCAGATTTGTGTTCATGTCTTCACCTTATTAATTATTTTTGCTTGATAGAAGTATCCTAAAACAAAACAGCTGAGTTAAAGGCTTTGAGAATATGTGTGTGTCAAAATCTCTGTATGCGTCTTTACTGTATATATTGTTCTGACCAGTTTTATATATCAATAGTAATTTCTGTCATATATTAAGTTATACAATTAAGTTTATTATATAAGAAGTTATTTCATTATTATATTTTTTTATAGGATCATTTTCTATTTTTTAATGTGTATTTTGGGTTTTTTTTCACATTCCCCGTTTTTGGTTCCTGCCGGCCCGTTTCATGGGGACAGCCGTAAACAGTCGGTGTTGAACACGTGCGGTTGAGAGATTAAAAAGTTGGGTGTTAAACCCGTCCTGTCGTTGTCGGTGCTTATTCATGAGACTAGCCGTCGTGTTACCTGGGGACGTGAGGACAAGCCAAGAATATAATGTCCTGGCCGCCTCGTGGTTCAGTCTTCATGGAAAACCTGTTTGTCATTTCATCTTCCACAATAGCCTGTAAAGTGCTGATTTAATTTTATATTTCCACGAACAGTGCGTGTCTGACATTAAAAGAAAAGAACAGGCTGAACATTGTTAAATTAATGTTGTTGAAATAAAGAGTGGATTTGTCTCGGTGTGGGGGGGGGCAATTTTTCGCCCTCCCCTGAAAAGCAAACGACAACTGTAAGAGTTTTATCTCCTTCCTTTTTCATTTCCTTTTTTTTTTTTTTATTATTATTATAAGAGCTCAACAGATGAGAGTGTTTGTCCTTGGCAGCGGTATGAAATCTACAGGGAGCCGTTGCATTGTATGCAGAATAAAGAGATGAAAAATGAAAATACATGTGTATGAAAGGGGAATAAATTCAAGTGAGCGGCTGAGAATATACAGTATCTCGTCCTGCGCGGCCTCTCATGATAAAGAGCACAGAGATCAAGTCAGAGTTATTCACATTTTCAAAGAGTAAGTGAAATTTTACAAGCTTATATGCTGGAAGTGGGAGGAAACCAAATTGGGTTTGTCTCAGGTGCAAGGTCAAATATTATGCAAGTTCATAGATACTTGAACTGTGATGAAACATAGTTTGAATATTGATTTTGATAGAATTTTTTTTACAGTGCACATCATCCAACTGTATTAGCTTTGTTAAGTGTTGGAATTACAAACATTGAGGGTGTTAGAGGTGATTTGCTGTTAGTGTTTCATGAACAGCCAAATGAACTGTGAAATGTGCCGCTCATTGAGCATGTTAAATTAGCTTTCCGTTTTATTATTCGCTCAGGTACAAATAGATAACAGACCTAACTTAGTGGGAAACCTGCGGTGACACCCATTACATTAAATAACATGAACTTTTTTTCACATTAGAGGTTATCGTGGATGGTGCTCGAGACGGGAACCACGGTCAAGACGTTTCACATAAAAGAGATGTAATCTTAAATAAATCTTTGCGAGGAAGAGAAGAGGGATTTAATCAAAGTTTGCAAATGTGCTATTATGAATTAATGAAACAGGGATGCTGGGAGATAAGAGAGTTCTCTCCGAGTGTTTCCCAGTGCTCCATATTAATACATATTGAGACCTCATTAACACGGTTATAATAAAAGCGTTCTGAAAAGATGAAGCATTTATAGAGTTGCTGAAAGCCTCTGTGTATTAATAAAAGTGTGATTAGTACCTCTAAATATAAATTCTTATGATTACAGTTATTAGCCCCAATCTTGTGTATTAACGATCACAACGAACTGTAACACAGCTCTGTCAGCCATCTTAAGGCTGCCATCTTGCACAGATGGCGTCATTTGGAGCCGTATTGTGCGCAATTGGATGGAGCGAGTCAGTCTCAGCTGTCAATCAGACCGTTTCAATAGCATCAAACAACCAACGAACATGGAGGAGGCAGGGTTTGTGACCTATACTGCAGCCAGCCACCAGGGGGGCGTTTGAGACACTGAAGTCGCATCAATGACAAACACCTTGAGTGACTGAGGACACGTCCACACTGGCAGAAGCATATATAATGTCCAGCTGAATGTCCTGTCATTCAAACATCCTCCTCTCTTCTCTCTCACCTTCAACACCTCTTCGTTCATTAATCATTCCTCGTCTCCCCCCCCGACCCCGGGTGTCCGCTCTGCTCCGCTGTGATTGCCGGTATCATGGCTCTTCTCCCCGCTGGCCAAGATTGACCTCATCTGATCGTCCCCAATTACGCACTCATTCGCGGCCTAATCTCCATAAACACACTCCACCCAAATCCGCTTGATGTTGGGAGCCTGAATTATTGTTCCCACCAGATAACATCTCGATTCCAGTATTTGAAAAGAAAAAAAATGATTGAATTGAAGCGTGTGGCTGCACAGTGGAAATTCTGTGATACAGCCGCAGATATCAACCTGTTTATCCCGCCGCCTGCCAAATCCTGCACCCCCCCCCCCCCCCCCCCCGCCCGCCCTGAACTTCGCTGGGATGAACACATTGGCTTAGAGTGTGTTTGTAAACCACACTGCGTCTTTTCAAGTAGCCTTCGATGATGACCCGCGCCAGTGCAATGATACGTTAAGCCGTGCTCGCTGTGAATCCAGCTTTTTGGCAGGGGCTCCGGGCCTTAGGGTTCAGGGCTGGCTCGTCTACAAGAGCTGAGCCAGAGACGGGATCCCGTGCGTCGTTTATAAATGAACCGCTCAGTGACAATGCACTATTTCCATCCCAATTCCGCGGCAGATGCTGCAGTTGTTGGATTATAGCTCAGAATTTATCGACACACATAGTACATCCATCGGTCCATTGCAAACCAAACTGACCTGAGTTCCTTTTGAGCTTAAACATACTACACTCTGCAGTTTGGAATATTTCAAATTATTAAATCAATAAATAACTGAGATTCCAGCCAACTGTGATAGATGTAAACATGTTGGGTGATATCTCGGTAATAAAATAAATAAAGGTCTTCTAACAAAAATGTGTTTGTTGCAGTAATGAATGACTGTACTTGATAATCCAGGTCGCCAGAAAAGGTTTGTACTTGTTCTTCTCGGAACTCTTTTTATCATTATTCAAATTTCCGTTCACAAACCGAGCAAGGACATTTCTGACAACCATCTTTGCCTGGAATATAAAAAATGAGCCGCAGCTTGAGAAACAGGTTAAAAATCTTTTTCTGATGATGCAGCAGACAGAACATTTATCATTTCATTCAAATGGATTAAAAGTCTGATGATATTGGAAATAATGGTGAATGTTGTTTTTTTCTAGTTCATAAAAAGGACACTCAATCCCAACTGGATAGATTTCAAATTTTTGGATCTAATACTCGGATGTAATGGTCATTTATGAAAAGCTTAAACTGGGGCTAGGTCATCCCATCTGCATTATTGTGTAACTGCTCTGGTTGATTATTTGTGTCTTCTTATTCAATCAGACACAAATAATAGACATTCATGATGAGGATGATTACAGGAGGAATTAGGTAAAAACAAGTAATACAAGTAAAACAGTGACATAATGTCCGTTTATAACATTTGTATCAATGTTTGTTTTTGTGTCCTGTGACAAAAATAACTCAAATCCTTTGCCCTCCCTCCTCTTTGCTGTTTACACAACATTACTTGAGTGCTTTGACTTGTGTGTGGCAGTCATCAGCCCTTTTACTCGCTATCAAGCACTTTCACACTCTTTTTAAAGCGTTTCTCTCACCACCGCCATCTGCTCTGTAACCGGTTATCATCGCACAGGAAAAAAAACATTTCCATCCCAACGGCCTCTTACATTTTGTCTGTTCGTCTTTCTGTCACCCCCCCCCTCTCTTTTCTGTGCCGTTCGCTCCTCTGTCACTCTCTGCTCAGCGACTGTGTCTCTCTCTGTCTCATTTATGCTGCCGTCAACGGTCGAGCTTGACAGATGTGGTTCCACTAAAGGCGCAGTAAAAGGTTGCAGCCGGCACGAGGAAGGATGCGTCCAAGGTCAAAGGTCAATTGCGAGTTTGCAGGTGATATTATCGTATATGACAAGGTCCTAGTTTATGTTGTACTTTATATCGGCGAGACCCACTTTATAGGTGCTCGCTGACCTGTGCGTCAATAAAACTTGCATCCAAAGCTTCTTATAACGGCGCTGTGGGCTGTGTAATGAGCGAGTGGGGAGGAGGCAAGCGGAGAAGCATAACTCACCGTCTTTATTGTCTCGTCGTCGTCATCGTTTCTCTCCCGTGCTTAATTCCAGAAGCCTCGTCCCTCGTGCACGCACATCTCTCCACCTTGAAGTGAATAAAGACGGAGGTTGTGGGTATGAATTCATCACTTGTTATCAAAAGGCTCCAGCGGTGCCCTGGTGGCTAATGCGCTGGTCCGTGTGCCATGTGCTCATGCTGCGCTGCTGCTCCCTGCTCTTTCTCCAGCCACACTTGAGTGATGCAATTACTGCTGAAACGCCGGGGGATGGCAGACAGCACAAATCTTAGGAGGAGAGGAAAAAAGGAGAAAAATATACAATCCCTTCCTGCATTTAAGCAGGCCCCAGAAGAAAAAGGGGAAACTTTGATCGTCATTGACCAGAGTGGTTGAATTAAAAGACATTAAAGTGTCTGTGAGCCGTTTGTAAAATCCTAGCAACAACATGTTGGTTTTAATCCAAATAAACCCTCTTCTTTCTTTTTTTTTTGTGGGGGGAAGCAACATCTCAGGGAAACAGTGTGAAAGGAG